TCAAGTTGACGACATTCCACACTACTTCAAATAAAAGGTTAGGAAGGAAACTCCCATTAATACTAGAAAGATTAATAGCAGCTACTGAATTTTAGAAATCTGTTTTCCTGAAAAATAGTTTTAAGAGAAAGATTTTATAAATTTCAACTGAAAGTAACACTGGCTGCTCAATCAATGAATGCCAAATATTTCCTTATAGGGAAACTGCTAATATTACCATTAGATATCTTGTCTGAGGTTTTTATTCTCTATTTCTAGTCCATGCTGCTTACTTAACAATCATAGAATTGTGACAAAAAAGCAACAGAAATGAAAGAAGTGCAATGTTATTGTATGCAGACTAATATGAACACAAGACTAATTTTCTCATTTATAACATTATTGTTTATTCAACTCCAGACCTTTTCAATTATTGTCAGCAAGTGGGTGTGTGGCTCTAGGTGTTTTCTCCAAACAAATTCTACATTCTTACTAGGATGTAATAAACTATGTTCCTCTCAAGTGGGTGCTTATATACCCTCCTCTCATCTGTTTTGTCCCATGTGTGTATTTCCCAGTTGGGTAACCACCTGTTTACATGTCGGGAGCATCTGCATCTGGTAGTTACAGGGTTATATATCACATCAACCCACTTACACACCTGGTTTCTCCTAATTTTTGGTTTGATACTGAGTGCAAAGTCTATTTTGATATTGTCTGAGGTGAATCACATACTCCAGAAGTCCTATTTCTATTTGAATTATAAGTTCAATCCGTGGGCCAAGCAGTGTATACTTTAACTCAATGGAAACGGGATGGCCAATAAGTGAGCAGTACTAAATAAGAACAAGATGAGATAGCCCTAGACATGGTCAGTGGAATGAGAACAATCTATCCTCATAGTTTAATAAAGGGTTAAGTTTGAAATTTCTCAAAGGCTACCTGGATTGACAAGCACCTGATGAAGGCTGGAGAGCCCAACAGACGAAACATTGTGGCAATAACAACAAAGGTGAGGACAATAGTTCACATGTAAATAGTGTAAATACAGAAGTACTAATTGAAATAATTGTTTTTTTATTATTTTGTATAGATGAAATAAATGGGATAAATATACCAGATATTTAAAAAAAAAAATACAAAGGTTTTATTTCTAATTATTTGATTTTATATTATATACACTTGTTGGACCCATGGGGATTCTGTGGGTATTTGAACTTCAGACTTGGAGATAAGAAAACATGTTCATTACATTAACATTGTATTGTTTGAATATACAATGAAATTAACTTGGAAATATTAAGAATTTTAATTATTTACATTATTCGGACTGTTATCCTCATTTTCATTGCTATATTCACAATGTTTCAGTCATTGTACATTCCATCTTTCTTTAGGTGATTGGAATTTCAAACCAAACCCTTTATTTCATCCACAAGAGTAAGTTGTTCTAGTTCCACATGCCATGCCTCTTCCAGATGTCTCAGTTATTTCCCTTTAACTCAACTCTCCAAGTTTTTGGTTTACCACTGCTGTAGCCTGGTATTGAACTTACAACTCTTTTGGTTTAGTCACTGGATGGGTCTTTATTCACTGTGAGTTCAATACCAGGCTACAGCAGTGGTGAACCAAAATCTTGGAGAGTTGAGTTAAAGGGAAATAACTGAGACATCCTGACACATGAAACTAAAACAATCTACCCTGGTGGATAAAATAAAGGGTTCAGTTCAAAATTCCAATCACCAAAACGTTGTGAATATGGCAATAAAGATGAGGTTAACAGTCCAAATAATGTAAATAATGATAATACATCATCTCAGAGTTATAGACAGAAGAATTTTAATCTCTGTAATTATTTAAATTAGTCAATTATATTTATTTTTTTCATATAATATTGAAATATCCTTTTGAAAAAGTGCCTAGGAACTCTTAACTTTGAGTACTATGTGATAATCACTGTTATATCTATAAGTGACATGAATAAACCATAAAATAAATGTTGTTATAGAATGACTAATAAAAGACAATTGTCACTTGTTTCTCTGTATGGTATACACTTATTTGACTACTTTTCAGTATAAAAGAATAAAAAATATTATTGAATATATTAACAAAATGACTCTTTACTGTTTATTCCTTTCTTTTCAGTTACTTTTAGAGAAAATGGAAAAAAAGGAAAACCAACCAAACATTTCAAATTTATCTGAACTTTTTTCTCTGATAACATTTTTACTTTTACTGTTTATTTGTTTAAATTGTTACATGTGAATAGAAATGTTTTTATTTTTATCATGTTTTCCAAAAGTAAATGAAAGGCTCCGAATTATGATTATAACCTTAGGGTTGGGTTATTGTAATGTTCCTAACAAAGGTACAGATTTAAATCTTCCTTCACTATGTCCAACTTCAAGTCATCATGATGTTGTCATGTTACTCTCATGTGACAATGAAACATTGACACAGACAGAGAAAATAATCCTATGCTTATTTCTTGCTATCATTCAATTTTGTATGTGTACAACAATTCCCAAAGAAGATTGAGGCCATATCTGAAAGGGAGTGAGGGTTATGACATAGGCGCCCCAATTTCCTGACCTCAACCCCATAGAAAACTTATGGAGCATGTTGCTCAACTGCTTTCTCGAGAGCCTGTACTTTATAATGCTCCATAAGTTTTCTGTGGGGTTGAGGTCAGGAGATTGGGGCGGCCATGTCATAACACTCACCTGCTTCTCATCAAAGTATTCCTTCATCAATTTTGATTTGTGACAGGGAGCATTATCCTGCATAAAAATGAGCTTGGTGGGGTCGATTTGCACACTTTCAGCAGAAGGGAGCAGACAAGAATTTAAAATTCTCTTGTACTGCTCGCTCCTGAGGGTCTTTTCAATAGGTTTTAAGAAACCAGTTCCATGAAAAGAAAAGCATCCCCAGAACATTATACTGAACGGATGCTTGACAGTACTTACTGCTAAATTCAAAGAGCTTTCAAAGCTTCTTCTTCGAATTTTAAATTGCTTATCCTTTGAATTTAGCTCAACTTTCGTTTCATCAAAGAAGAGAATATTTAGTAAAAAAAAATCAGGTGAGTCACTTTTATCGAACAGCACTGTATATGGGCATGTGGCCAAGTGGCTAGAACGTTCGCTCTCTGACCATGAGACCTGGGTTTGAATCTCACCATAGTCGATTTGTCAGGAAGGAGACTTCCTGATGTTATCGGCCTGTAGAGGCGATCCCAGTGTACGCTACCTTTTGGAAAGTGCCTGAAAAGCATGCCACTGGTTGACTCAAGCCTTGTAAGTGAAATTGGGTAGACAGGACCTTTTGGGAGCCATTGATGGTTGTGCTAGGACAAAATCACGAGTCATAGTAACTGAAGGTTTTAAGCGTATTAACCTTGTTCAGACTGTTGATCACAATAAACAATGCGCACTTTCCCAGAAACTGTAACAAAAGGTCTGTTCAACATAGTTGCAGTATAAACCACAGGTGGGCTTTGGGGGGTGTTGAACAAACACAAATGTGCCTGAGGAGTTGTCTGTAACAGGGATACAAGTGGCTGTACCATTTTATATATATATATATATATATATATATACACACACACACACACACAAAAACAAATCTGTTCCAACTTAAGGTAAATTAGAAAAGAAAACATTTTTACATTCAAGAGTTTCCTCCTTGTATGTATGTTTGTATAGTTTGTACTTTTATGTTTGTATTGATATAAAAATTGTCTAAAATCTGCCATTTTTTATTACTTTTCCCCTTAATGATAACTTTTTGAACAAATAAATTTTTTCCTGTATTGTTCCCAAAAGTATCCTGACTAAACTTTCTGCTTTTTATGCTTCAGGTACTGTAAAGTTTATAAATATTTTGTATTTTAAAGAGAAACTCCCTGTTACAGATTAAATAATCATCATTTCAAATTACTGTATTAACATTTATTATTTCAATAGTCATTAGGATGATTGAACTCTTTTCTTTGTTACTTTGTTAGCTTGCTAACAACAAACACTACACAAGAATTGTGTTCAGTAGTTTGAACAAATTTTGCAGCTTCAAGTTAATATTTGCTCACACATGCACATCCAATAATTAATGAAATATCTGATGTGTGCTTAAAAGGTTTTATGAAAAGATTAATACAAATATAAAATTTGTTACTTAGCTGATTGATTTTAGATTCAGCAGCATCTCGACTCCAGAGTTTCTTAGACAAACCTTTTTGTAATTATTCAGCCCACTCATCAGGAATTTCAGCAATTGAAATATATTTGAATAAAATAAAATCTGGTAAAAGGCCACAGATTTTCTGTATGTAATAAGGCTTAGATTTGTAAGTTTCTGAAACTACAGTTTTATAATTTTCAGAGTTGAGAACTTTTGAAGAAAATTGAATTCAATATTTTTCAAGGAATCAATTTCAACATGTGATGGAATTTTACATATATTTTTATATAAAGAATAATATAAGAAACAATATTTGTGTGTATGTAGATAGAAAAAAACAAAGAGAAACATTATAGGCTTTGTTGTTAGAAAATGTGTGAAGTCTATGGGGTTTGTTTGAAATGAAGTTTGCTGGGCAACTAAAATATATCCCTTAAGAAGAGGGTTTTATTGTTTTGTGCTTTTATAGTTTTGAAACAGCACTACCTCGTGGGTATCTTGGCACACAGGGTGAGGATAATTCTCACAGACCCTCCATAATATATTCAGGTTGAATAACTTACCTGACAAAAGGTTGCTGAGTAAAAGGAGCAATATGCATATGGGTACTGGAAAGTTCTGAGAATAGCCCACTTTGTAAAATTCTGACCAAATAGCAGTATTGTTTTAAGAGCCTTTTTGGTTAGGCTGAGAACTATTTTATCACCTGATCTTTTTATCAGCTGGTGTTCAACTGTAGAATCCGTAACATACAATGAGAGTTTTTGAAAAGAAAAGTAGAAAAACTAAACTCCTGGCATTGCCTTTGTGTCTGAGGTGTATTTGCTTTTCGGTTTCAGGCTGTTCAAATCACCCTTGGCAATGATTACATTTGGTGCATGGATGATTTGTTTCCGATTTTCCAATATGTTGTGGTTCGATCCAAGATCCAGCATCTTGGAGCAGAGATTCACCTAATCGATGATTTGATGGAACGACATTTGGAACACGGCGAGTTGGGTATCATGTTTACAACACTCAAGGTAACTTTTCACATTTCCAATTGAGTTATCCACCCTTGACCAATAATTTTTCTATTCATTTTTACGAGTATTTTATTCATGTTAATTTTAGTTGCTTTTCATTACAACTACTCACACTGTTTGTCTACAGCCATCAGAAATAAAGGATCTGCACGTTTCTTTCTCCAGTAGAGAACTGTACCAACTCCAAAAAGCTGGTAGAAGATCAAATCTAATCATGTCCTACTATTAATAATAATAATAATAATAATAATAATAATACAGGTTGAGAATCCTTTATGCAAAATTCTTGGGACCGGAAGTGCTTCAGTTTTCATATTTTGGAATACAAGTTATTTAATTTGTATATAGAATCTATAAAATGAGGCAGCTTGGGAATGCAACCCAAACATAAACACAATATCCCTTTACATTTTAAACCACAGCTTATACATATACACTGAAAGTAGTTTTATATAAAATTTTAAAAAAATCTTATGTCTATACACATACAGGCAATGACTTTAGTCATGTAATGCTCAGAGATTTTTAAGTGGTGAAATTAAGATTTCACGTAAAATGTTTTGTACTTTCTGTATTTGTACAAAAAAAAAACATGATCACTACTTACAAAAATATATCTAAATGCAACACCAAACACTACTTCTACATCAAGTGAGAGAAACTGAAATGAAAGGGTACATCATCAATGATATAACTATGAAAAGGAAAATTCAGTAAGCTATCAGTCTCTACCAACAATGTTGTGTTTTGATTAAAATGTTATAATACATATAGGCACAGTATTTGTATAAAAACAAAACATGGATTCTGATTACAGTTAAATGTAAGGAAAACTGAAAAAGTCAGCATTTTATTTGTAACACAATAATCATGCTACAGATAGCCATGTTGCTTTCTGAAATTTTCCAATTGTGGCAAGTCATGTCCGCATCTGAAAAACTTTTGGATAAAGGATACTCATCCTATGTTTGTAAAACCAATCAGAAATATAATACCAAATGATGAGTCAAGAGAAAAATAAATGTTAACTATGATTAGTTTTGATCCTCTGCCATTTTTAGGCTTTTATAGCTCAACTGGCAGAATAGCTGGGCTTATTGAGAAAAAGGAACATGAGTTCAAGAGCTTTTTTTTTTTTTTTTTTTTTTTTTATTTCTGATCCATATTTACCAATGGCCATAGATTGATGGTATGAATATTGTGATGAAAATCAAATTTAAGATGGAAGAAATACTTAATATTCATTTAAAAAATAAAAATCAAGATATTTTCTAATTTTTAATTTGTTAAAACAGGTAAATGATCTTCAATAAAGCAAATGTATGATGAGGTGCTGAAAAGTTCTTGGCTCGACTTATTTCCCAAATCTGACCTAATATCAAATTTCTTTTTGGTTGAGGCAAAATCTTTTCAGCAAGAAAGACTTTGTTTTATTCATTTGGTGTAATATTTTTAATGTAAAGTTTTGAAATTTTCATCTTAAATTCATTGAGATCTCAATTTGAACCTACTGTGATTGCTCTAAAGCAATGGTTTCTAAACATTCCTTCACATTTTCGGAATTAAAATTTGCCTCACCAAATTTTATCTGATAAAAAGTGTATTTAAAAATAAAAAGACGCTACAGCACCCAACATGTTGCTATTGTGGCTTTCATAGCAAGTAGGGTTTTACAGGGTGGCATTGCTAGCCTCAAACTCAACTGGTTTTGAATTCAGAGTTGTAGACTGGTTGCCAACAAAGGCTAAAGAGTCTACTCTATTTAACCCATAGCTGAAGGTAGAAGGTATAGATTCATACCCTTTCTAGAGGTTATTTGCATGAAAGTGAATGCAATGAACTCTACTGGAATTTGAATTGGATTTCTTGTTCAAAGCTATTCCACCTGCACATTCACTTTTAAGTATATTTTCTCAGTAAATATTAAGATGTATTCCTGTATTATAGATGAGAAAAAATTGATTTTCTTTTGTGATGTATAAGACAAATAAGAACATGAAATTACATCTCTCATACATATGCCTGAGTATTTGATTCTGGACTTTGTTGATTACTATCAGCAGGTGTGTTTTAGGTTTACTCTAAATATAGATTCTACATTCTCATGAGGTTGTAAGACTCTCCTCTCGTTCCCTTTTGGTTGGGTGTTTTTATACCTACCTGTCATTTGTTTTGTATCCCATATGCACATCCCAAACACAGCTTGGTTAACCAGCTATTCACATGTTGGGTCAGACACTGACATTCTGTGAGGTGCATAACCTGGCCACTAGGTACAGATATGTTTCAGCTCAACTTCTTGAAGCTTTGGCATAATGCTGAGTGCAAAGTCCATTTTGGCTACATCTGGGACATGTCCAGTACATAATGGGGTCATTGCAGATCAACCTCTTTGACATTAAATTTGATTCAGACCATCTGAATTTCCTGGCATTAATCACATATGACATTTACAACAGAATGTAATCAAGCAAAAGACAATATTGAGAACACATGTAAATTTTGGCTAACAGGAAAAACGTGCCCACTTAAGACGTAGTGTCAAAAATAAGTTTTTCCCATGACACCGCTTTTCTAACTACCTGAATTATTCAGCAATGTTTGTTTTCAAAAGTGATGATTAGAATTGGAATAAAATTTTTTTGTTTTTAAGAATTTACGACACAAATATTAAACACTATTAGATTGTTTATTTACAAGGTAATTTTATATTTATAACATTCTAACTACAAACTAATACAATGCAATATTTATCATTTACTAAGTTATAAAGAAATAAATGTGAAAACATTTTTTTTATTTATAAACATGTGTGAACCAACTATAAGGAAATATTTATCATTTTATAAAGTTTGAATCAATTGGCAATTAACCTATGTTTTGCCAATCATTCCAATAAATAGTGTTTATTTTTGTTAACAACAAAGTAAATGTATAAATTTACTTTCATCATATATATGTTTAGGTTTTATTACAATTCTAATGACAACCTTTTAAAACAAATATTGCCTTAAGAGTAAAGGTAGTTAAAATAATAGTGATGTCATAGGAAAAACTGTCCTTTGAAACTACATCTTATTGCAAAAACATTTCCATGTATGCCTAAATTTCTTTATCAGTTGAAATTGATAGACTTTTTTTTGTATCAACTTGAATATATAAATTTATGCAATAAGTTGTTAATAAGTTGTCCTCATCTTTATTGTCATGTTTTGGCCATTGTACACTACTGGGTCCAACCAACAATTTTATCCACTGGGCCATGTGTATAAAAGCATTGGTTGGATCCAGTGACTTGACCCAGAGTTGTGTGTTCAATTCCTGGCTACTGCGATAGTAAACAAAAACTTGGAGAATTGAGTTAAAGGAAGATAACTGAGGCATCTGGAAGAGGTATGACACGTGGAACTAGAACAATTTACACCAGTGGACGAAATTAAGGGTTCAGTCCAAAATTCCAATCACCTGAAGAAGGCCGGAGCATAATATGACCAAAATTTTGTGAATATGACAATAAAGATGTAAATAATTACAATATCTCATCTCAGAAATATAGACAGAAAAATCATAAGCATTATGAAAAAAATACCTTTCTACATAATGAAGAGCAAAATACATTTGAGATGACAATATGTAGTTTTGTTCAAACTAAATAATGGATTTAATATTTTACAAACAAACCAGAAAAGATATTTTTTTTTGTACATCAATTTTTCAGTTCTTTTTTATTAGATTTCTCATTTTTTTTTTTTTGCATTCCATTTCATTTATTTTCAGGCTTGCTACTTTCAAATTCAGCATGAAAAGATGCCAACTTGAATCCAGTGCGTCTCCTTCCCTGGATAAAACATAGTCTCATATAAACTACTCTTTTTCCAGATCCAGAATAAAGGAATTTGGATTGTAAAAAAAAAAGTAAAAATTGAAAGAAAGCCTATGGTAAAAATTTGTTGTGAATTTCAGGGGAAAAAAAAATCCCTCAACAAAATTAGAAGAGGAAAACTTGATTCATTTTTTCAAGTCATTCCAAGTCAGAATGTTTCTTGTAAATCATCAAACTCTGTCTTTAAGTTTCTGTTGTCAACATTTTTCTCATAAAGAAATCATTGGACAAGCATAAAAAAAAAAAAAAATAATTGTCTTTAATACTTTGCTTGTGGGAAGAAAATATTGATAGATTATTTCTTTGGTGGTTTTTTTTTTTTTTTCCTTTTGTATCTACATTACTTTTGACATGAATGAAAGAAAGCAAATATTCAGACAAAAGAAAACAAAAAAGCAAGCAGCTACTGTCTAACCAGCCACCGTCATGATAATGATTTTCAATCCATTCAGAAACTTTTCTCCTTAAGAATAACGAGGATATTTTTCTTCTGGACACTTTGTGAATAAGTCAGAAAATAATCTAACAGTTATATTTTTTTCTTCTTATGAAAAGCCACTTTTTCTTTTTTCTGTAAGTTCAAAAATAGTTTTTTCTTTTTAACCTTTTGATAATATGAAAACTTTGTACATGTGAAACAAATGAAATATGAGAAAAAAAAAGTTAAATTAATTTTCCTTTTACTAAGATGCTGATCTATATTTTGTTGCTCTTGAAATTCTGTGATGACAAGCTTTTTTGTGTGTGTAATCACACACACATATATACAATATCTTATTTAAGGAACTCAAATCTCCCTTCACTCTTTTCTCGTAAGTCTTTATAAAATTTGCAGAAGAAAAAAAAAAAAAGGATGAGTGATATGTTCATCTGGTAAACATGCAGCTCAATGTAAACAAATATTGCACAGTTAATATTTTCATTGCATTCATATTTGTAAAATCTTGACTAATCAAAATGGTATAAATATTTTCTCCAGAAAGGTTTTATTTTATTGTAAATTCAGACTAAATAGTATTTATGAATATTTCTTTCTAAAAATTACAAACATATTCATTGCTTCCTATTCTAAATCTAAGAATGGCTAATTTTGATGTTAGTCAACAGTAAAGAAAAAACACTATCCCGATATTATGTGTAATTTCATAAAACTTTTTTCCAAGATGCCACTAGTTTGCTTTCATTCTCAAGATTTAAAATAATTATCATTTAATGATAATGCTCACAATGGATTTGACATCCCCCAAATTGGCCAGTCTGATTATTTTAATTGTGACTGAAAAACTTATTTTGAACTTCATTGTAATTGTGTCATTCTTTTAATCTAAAAGCTGATAATTTATTTAGCCAGATGCAAACGTTTTTAACTTTTTTTAAAAGTGATGGGCTTCCATCCCATTTTCCATCCACTATTCCCTTCTCCAACTCTTGTGAAGTTGGAACAAATTTATTTCAAATTTTACTCAAAGTTAATTTGTGTATTCATATTATCCGGCCTCGTGTATTGGAATATAGAAAGATTTTGACATTTGAGTGACTTTTGCTCCATTTCCAGGACAGATATTTGAATCCTGTGCACACAACTTGTGTATTTATGTTTATAATTGAAATAAAGAGGTTAAAAAAAAAAAAATAATAATTTCTGAAAGTGTAGCAAAATAACCTCAACTGCATTACTTAAAACAATATATATATATATATATATATACATGCATATATCTCACTTGATCAAAAGTGATTGGTAATTATTAGAAATTTTTCTGATAAAAAGTAAAATTAATGACTTGGTACTTATGAATTGTGTTATTCTTATAGAATAAATATTTAAAATACAAAATATTCTGTTACTAACTTTCAATTGTATATTTTGGCTGTTGCTTTTTTTTCTCTCTCCCTCTAAATCCTCCCCCCATCCCATCTTCAAATTAGTCCATCTCAAGTTTTCACATATTGTTGACTGCATCATGTCAATTGGTGAATAAACAAAAATTGATTTTGAATTTCCTGAAGTTTCTTTTATTTTTCTACAAAGACAAAATCATTTTCATGAATAACCCAAACTCTCTTCCAATGGCTTACATAAAGACTGTTCTGCTCTTCTCTGTACTGAATAAATGTTTAGCTGTATGGATACAAGGAAGATAACTTTTATTCAAGGCTTGTTTATTTTTTTTAGTTACTTCATAAATGCAAGAATATTAAAAAATGTCAAATTCAGGATTTCTCCTTGGCAAATAATTATAATTAACACTAGCATTTATATCACCCTCTCACACGTGTGGAATTGCATCAATAAAAACATTTTAGTCCAATGAAGTCCTAGAGGACAAAATGTGTTTAACAGAATTTTTTTTTCAGTTTGTCATTCAATTGCCTAGCAAGAATAAGTCTAACAATGTTTTTCTTTTCACTGAAATTATTTCAATCTTATCAATTTTTAGACAATTAAGAAAAATAATTGGGGTATCAACATTTTTAGTTTTCTTTCTAACAATGAAAATGACATTGTATCTTTGCAGAGAAGATATGAATTCGAATAAGTTAAAAACACTAAACCTTCCAGGTTTTTTTAAATAAACATTTTGACAATGTAATTTTATTTCATTCTATTGACAAACCCAATTGTTGCTACTTAGATCTTTTAAGAGGAAACAGATGGAATAAATTTTGACTGACTTCTGGTCAATAAAGGACAGAGTTGTATGTCATTATGTTCACAAAAATATCATAATTAATATTTTCTAATCTATCCAGCCTGGAGGAATATCAATTTAAAATTTGTGAGAGGGGGAAAAGAAAAAAAGCATTGTTTATAGAATTTGAATGTCTCAGATAATGCAAATTTAAGAGGAAATTGAGCAGACATTTTATTCTATTAAAATAGTGGTTCCCAAAATTTTTTGGCTGTCCCCATGAATTCAAATTTAACATAACAAAACTATAAATGAAACTCAGTATAATTTTTGATATATTATTAAGAGGAAAAATTGGGAAAAAAAAAAAATTTCATGTAAAAATTATTTGTTTTACAGTTTTAAAAAAAAAAAAAAAAAAAAAAAAAAAAAGCAAATTTTTAATTTGAAATTTTAAACTTTCAATAGAAATAATTATTTCATTACGGTTAAATCACCAGTATTTTTCGAAAATCCACCAAAAATCAAATAATAATCCAATTTTAGTAATTTTTTCAAGACATAAAATGTTTCATATTTTACAATCAACCATTTATAACAGAAATTTTTTTCATAATTTTTGCCAAGTTTTCTCTCCAAAGAGCAATTTTTTCCCCCCCAATGTCTACCATGATATGATTTCAGTCCTGCATGTCTAAATTAAGTTCATTCAGGTGCATAAAAATGTTGCTCAAATAAGCAAGCCTTGCCAGCCAAGCAATATTTTTTTTAAGCACATGCTGTTTCTCACAGAAATATTTCAATTTCAGTTTTTAGTTCAATAACTCTTGCAATAATCTTTCTTTGAATATCAGAGTGGAACAGCAAGTATATGTGATGTGATCCCATTTCTTTACACATATTATGGAAAATACATAAGTTTAAAGTCCTGGACTTTTGGGAACTGTCTGTGTTTTTATAGCCCCAAAAAGATAAGAATTGGATGAAAGAAAACTTACTTTTATTCAAGTGGGAATGAATCTTACTGGTTCGAAATTCATACATTTAATATTTAATTATTTGACCGGAATTAAGATAATAAAAGTGTGTCAAGCCTACCTGTGTACAAACTTTTCTTGTGTTATTTGAAATTTTACTTTGTAGGGGTTGACTTCTAACTCTGTGTATGGTAAATTACACATTTTTACGAGACCATTAACCTTTAGTAGGGTCACGACCACAGGTTTGGGATCCTCTGTATTAAAATGTAAAGCATAATAATCTTTGGAATTATTTATATGTTCTCTAGCCTTTTCAGGTACTTGTTGATCTGGGTAATCTTTAGGGGATTTTGAACTGTACTCTTTATTTGATGTACAAGGCCAGAAGGCACACTAACTGAAACATTATGATAAACTCCTAGAAATTCAAACAAACTTAGGAAGTGATTTGTATATCAGTAACTCAAACTTATGTTTGAAGTTATGAAAGTAATCAAATTTGTTATAAAAAAGGGTGTTCCAATAACTTGGACAGATTTTAAATGTGAATTAAGTTTAAGCGTCTAATAATTTTTTTTTCTTTTTCTTTCAGATTTAACAACTTAAGTCTTTGGCAATCTCAACCATCAAACAATGTGTTAAAGTTTCAAGAGTGCAATTGGAAAAATTGTTTGTAAATTCAAACAAACTGGGTCGGTGGCAGATGTGACAACACCATTGCGTGCTTGTTTGAAAACATAGCTGCAGTGCATGAGAATATACCAAAAATCCAGAGACCTCTATTTGTCATTGTGCACAGGAATTGAACCTCACCTCTTAATAACAACGTTACATCGTTTCCAATTGCACTCTCGGTTGGTCGATTATGTTGACCAAAAAAAAATCGCGAAATGTGCAAAATGCATTTCTGTTTGAATGTCCATTTTCATAATAGGCTTTGATAACTTTAACATGTTGGATTGTTCGTCTTTCCATGATTGAAATTGCCAAAGACTTAAGATGTTAAATCTAAAAGAAAAAAAAAATCATTGGCCATTTACATTTAAAATCGGTCCAAGTTATTGGAACATCCTTTATATGCATACACACATAGGAATATAATAGATGAATGGTGATTACAATTTCATGAAGTTTGGAAAAAAAAAAAAAAAGTATAAACTGTACAAATTATTTGTAATTAATTTTAATCTTCAGTTTTCATGGGCCAAATATTCTTTACTTATAAGAGGTGATTTTTATCTTTAAGTGATTCTAATTTCATTTATATTAGACATTTTAAAATGGTTATTTTTTACTGTTCTTAATAAATTTTCTCTTTACAAAATATGATGAAACAAATACATTTTGTAATTTCCTTGTAAAATCATGAAATTCTAAAAATTACCTTCAACTATTATGATTTAATAAAACTGACCAAATTATTTTTCTAAAAGTTTAAGCCACAGTATTGCTGGACTTTTTTCATATATAAATTTTGATTTAAAATTTTTCTGCTCCAAATAATTACTTTAAAAAAATAATGTGCACAGTTATTGAATAAGCAATGGTACTATCAGATTTTGAAATACAGAAAAAATTCAACAATACTTGATTATCAAAAATATATAAGCGTTTATTTTTTATTTTCATCCTTTTGTTTTGCAGAGCGTGCAAATTGCTGGCAAGGAGTTAAGAAAAACATGAAATGTTAACATTTTAAATAAAATGGAACATTGTTTTAGAAATGAGAACTAAAATTTCCTTCAAAATGTCAAATTCAAGGGAAGTAACTTAACTTGAATGGGCTGAAGAAAATGACTTGAACATTGTCTTATCTGATGAGTTTTGAAAATTTCTCAGACCAGCTCATTACCCAAAATCTGACTAAACCTTAGAAATTGGGAGGGACAGGGTGTTGAATTTGTGATAAAAGGCAACAGAAATTCATAGACTTTGGGAATGTTCTATCAAAATTTTAAAAAGTTTATAAAGTAAAATTTTAATACAATTTCATTAATCAATCATGACATGACAGTTTATACATTAACAAGTATTTTTTTTACGTCATTCAAAGGAGTCCTATTATTAGTAATAAATTTGTAGTTAACTAAAAGAAAATCTTTCCTCAGTATAAGAGAAAAAAGTCTTAAAATAAGTTTTTTAAAAAGTAATATGAAATTAAGTCAGGAAGAAGATTTTTTTTTAACTAATGAAAACGGAGATAGATAATAAAATCCTAAAATAAAGACTTTCTCAATGTACACAAAATATGCTTTTCACATACTTGAATGGGATGTTACCTCCACAGGACAAAAAAATCAATACCTGTCAAAGGTTAGATGAGCTTCTTATAGGAGCCAACAGGTGCATATAATATATATATATATATATATGTACATGTTTTATTAAAGACAACTGACAAGATACTGCATTTAAGCTTTTTATTTCATTTTTCTTGTGTTCGTATGAGTTTTTTTTTTCTGGATATAATGTGTGTAAAAATTGTCCAAATATTTTATGTGTTTAAGCTCTCACAGCTATTCTTTTAGCCATTATATCAGTTAAAATTTAAAAAATAAAAAAAATCTATGATAATTAACAAACTTTATGTCCAGAAAAGAAAAAAATTATACAAACACAAAAATTTAAAAAAAAAAAAAAAAAAAGCTTAAATGCAGTACTTTGTCAGTTGTCTTTAATGAAATGTGTGTGTATATATATATATATTTTTATGGTATGCTATATTTATGGGTTAAAGGTAGTGTGTATGTAAATATAAAAGTGGACATTGAGGTCAATACCCATTTGCGACAGTCTGTTTCATCCTTAGACACAATCGTCAGGCCACACAGATTATTATATATATATATATATATATTTATGGCAAGAATGGGATCTTGATCCATGAGTGAGAGTTGGGCATTAGGAAGAACATCCAGCTTTGTAAAAACCTTGCTTCAAATCATTATCACCCATTGTCAGGCAGGACCCACCTTGCTTTGTGTGAGATTAATCCGGGTCCTGCTTCAACAACAGAAAAAAGGGCTATTTTGCCAACTGTTAAGAATTCAAGCATCATTGTGTATAATAACCTTACATCAAGAACACACAATTAGAAAATGACAATTTCCTAATGACTGACAAAAAGGAAAATTTTTTTTTGAAAACTAAAAAGCTGAAATCAAGATTTTTTAGAAAGGATACAACTAACATTGGTCGGTTGTGTAAAACAAACCCATTTGTATCTTCAAGGGCAACTTTGGCTACTTCTTCACTGGGTAGAGTAACAAATGCTTGACCTCGAATACGTCCTTCTTGCATAAGACGAATATAAAACCTGCAGAAATGTTTAGATAATAAAAGCATATAAATAATAAAAGACAACTGTACTAGAATATCAACTCAGCATTTAAAACATTAAACCGATTGAGAATCAGCTTGATCCTCACTTAGTGGCTGAGAAATTGGTCAATATGCAGTAAATACTTTAAGGAACAATAACATTTTTTATATTTGACAAATTTCTATATTCAGCAATTTCTTCCAATGTCAGAGATCATGAAATATTATTAAAGTCAAGTAAAGTTTTCATTTTTCTGCAACCAGTTCATAAAGGTAAGAGCGGCACAGTAATGGATAGCAGCACAGATTGAGGAATCAGAGAGCTGAGCTCAAATTCCAGTTGAATCCATTACATTCATTTACGCACTAATACCCTTGGGAAAGGTATGAATCCTCTTCTCACCCCAGCTATGGGTAAATAGCAGGGTAGACTGGGTTCTATAGACTTGGATGGCAACCTACTGCAGGAAAAAATCTGCCTCATCAGTCATGTATCAAAAGATACATGATCGCCTAAGTGTGTATCATGTATGGCACATAACTGACTGAATATCTTAAAATCTCTGACACTGGAAAAAAGCAATTTAACTTTTTTTTGTTTTTTTAATTGGTATCATCCCATGAAAGGTAGTAAAGCCACTAAAACACAAGGGGTTACAGGGTGTGGAAGAATTAAGAACAGAAACATTAATAAGTGAGAAGAGAAAAGAGTAATCTGGAGGGCAGTAGATAGCAATTGACATTGCATTTAAATTTTTGCAGATTCAAGTTGGCTGGAAAGCATGGCTCCAGAAGGGAGTTCCACAAGTGAGATGTGCGAGAAAAGAGACTGTTAGCATAGAATTTATGGTTACATCTAGCTAACCCAACTGTAAATTGATGAGATATCAATGCCAGTCTAGTACTGCATTTAAATTCAAAAAGTCTAGGTAGAATAGCAAAGAGCTCATCCAAACAATTATGATGAAAGTATTTATAGAAAAGAAAGCAACCTCATAGATGCCAGATCAGGACAATATTGTTGATTCTTCTTTAGATTTTATCAAGGAGTTCAAAGTAAATAGCAGGGACACCAGACCATATGTGGCAGCATTATTCCAATCATAAACAAATGCTAGACTTGTAAATATGTAAGATAGATTCTGGAGAGAAAATTTGTCTACCACAACACATTGAACCAACTTTCTCAGTAGCTGACCTAGAAGTGGACTCAATATAGTCTTTCCACTTCATATCAGCTGAGAACATTGGTGCAATGAGTCACTTTCCTGGGGGTTAACATCAGCTATGCTATCAACAAAATTAGAGAATTCATTATTAAAAGTGTTTACTTAATCTTGAACTCTATGAGAAGAAAAGGGATAAGCTAAGCCTTATTGTGAAATCTTTAATAACAGCTATTTTATGTCTGTATAGACATTTGCTATTATAATTAAGGCAGCAGAAATTTAAACTTTTAAGCTTTTTTACTATACAGATATAAATTCATTATTATCATAAAGAAATATTTCAAGGAATGAAATGTCTAATGTAGGTTTTTTTTTTTACATTTTGTCATTCAATTACCCACTCTTATTCTTACATACAGATTTGTACATCAGATATAGATATATAGAAAATTGTGTATTTGGGTAGCAATCCCTCTTTTATACAGGCAGGTTTCATTAAAGATGACTGACAAAGTACTGTCATTAAGCTTTTTATTTAATTTTTCAATGATCAACTTTTCCAAATTACAAATAATCCTTCTCAGACAAGAAGGAAATTCTATCAGAAATTGTCCAAAGTTTATTTTGGAAGAAAAATTCAAGAAATTTTGGTCCAAACTTTCTTAAGTCATCATCAGGATAGATATTCATATAGTTTGTGAGTAGTTCTCTAATGTTACTATGATCCTTATGCTGCTTATTAATGTGTTGTCTGATTATACTATTACACAATAGGTGGCAGGTGAGTCTCTGTGACAGTGTGTTTACATCTAACCAGCTCAACTGTAAATTGATGAGATCTATACGCCATTCTAGTACCTATGCAAGATTTTTCAATCTTTTTATTTACAGAGAAACATTCTCTGAGTGGGTAAGTACGTTCATACATAACATTGATCTTATATAGAGGGTTGGAAGTTTTAAAAAAAAAAATCACAATTTCTAAGAAACTCTCCAATTGTTTCTACCTACCCTGATGATGACTTAGGAAAGTCTAAATAATATTCTTAAAACAGGGAACATTTTATTAATCAAAAAATCCAATACAAAAGTATCATCTCAATTAAAATTAGAAAATTTAAAAAAGGTACCTTTCATTCAACATCAGGAGAAAAAATTGTTGAAATTCAGAAATACTGAAAAGAAAACAAATCTTCTGGCAAAAGAATTAAGAGAAGGAAGAAAAAAAAAAAATTAAAATTGCCAAAGAGTGCCAGTTTATGTTTCATATCTCTCTGCCTACAGAGTTGGATAAGACATATTGATAACAACTGCCTCCAAGATGTTAAGATGGTATCTAATCTGAGAGCCCTGTGCAGTACAAAGAAGAAATCTGCTGAATAATTGGACGCACAAGTAACAGAACTCAATAAATGTTCCCAATAACAGACTCGTATGCCTGTGAGTGCCTGCATGCTTATGTATGTGGGCCAGACATGTGCTGCACCAATAAATAACAGAACTTTGTTGATTGATGGGCAAGATGTCCTTGCAGGCAGATGGGAAAAGCACTCCTAGTAGAAAAGATGTTTTGTACTACTATAGAATTGAAGCCGTGTATGACTGTAGAAAAGATCTAAAAGAGCCAATCCAGGGTAATCTCATGTAGATGGCACACTTAGGTGGACCAAATGTTTTAATTTCATTAAACTTAGAAATTTTAAGTGTTATGTTTTTTTTTTTTTAATAACACCTTCCAGATAGCCATTGGCAAGAATGATATTAGTAATTTCCCAAGTTCAGCATCAAGCTTGCACTCCAAACAAATCATCAACACACGATGAGTGTTTTAACAAGGCTAATTTTCCTAGACTTAGGAGTAAAAGAGTCCCAGCTGAGATACAACCCAGTAGTCTTCCTATATACACAGATAAGGAAAGAAGAGTTCTCTCAATCAACATGTCCAGAAACGGTAACATTATTCTCCACCTACATCGTAAATTGTAAAGAGGGGTGGAGACCATTTAGATATGAAAAAACTTCTCTGCCTAAGTTATGTGATAAAAATAGCAGTAAGGTTTAGAGACTTTGTCATACAATTGCCTTTCATGAGACCTTACAAAAATGTTGGCTATGAAAGGTCCCAAAGGTCTACCCAATCAATCTGTTGGTAGCCATCCCCATCACATCAAGAAAGACACTCTCAGGAAAAGATAGAGGTTTTAAGAGGCCACAATACAAATAGTCAGCACAAATGTTGATAGACTCATCAAGAGGGACATTTGTGAACAGACTACAAATATCAAAAGACACAAGAAACACTGTCAACAGTATGTTGCAGTTTACGTATATCAGACACAAAAAGTCTGGAATATAATAGTCAGAATAATACTGCAAAACAGGATCAAGAATTTCAACCAACCATTTGGCCAACTCATGCTGGGCAGAGCCCACTATAGGCAAAATAGGCCAAAGTGGAACATCTATTTTACGAATTTTCGGCAAACTATATATCCTTGGATGCTGGGAGCACACAGGTTGGATTCTATCATATACCAGCTTTGAGAGGAACATGCTTTTATGAAATTCAAGCAGTCTTCTGAAATTTAACTTCTATTTTTTGCAGTGTCATCAAATGATGTATTGCCTACTTTCTGAAATTTACTAGTGTTGTCCAATATAGACTACATTTTATTTATATAATCAGAAAAATTCAGAATCACAACACCAGATCAGGTCTGGTTATATAAATGTTGGTCCTAGATTTTAACAATCTGCCATCTGAGAGTAATTCTGCTGCTAAAGGAATGCCTTAGAATCTGTAGGCAAATTTATGAAGTCATATGCAAGTTCATTTAGATAGGCTTTAAGATGGCTTACATGCTCAGCAGATGTTGGCACATGTTTTACTAATTGGGAAAACAATAATTTAAACTCACTAAAGACTTTGATTCTATTGATCATCTTTGGTGATACAATAGTCCAAACATCGAGACAGGACCAACTTATCAGTACAAGGTAAACTATAATCAGATAAATTAATACGTTTATCCATTGTAACAGTAACACTAAATTTTCTTTCTATCACAAAATTAAGATACACTAAATTCTTAGCATTGGTTCTGCTACTAAAGAAAGTATGACCCTTGGGCAGATATCTCGAAAAATGGAATTTATCAAGAAAAGAAAGTGTAGACCAGACAATGACCGACAATAATTGATACTGGATTCTTACAGAATTGACTAAGTCAGAGTAATACAAGATTCCATCTCTAAGAAATGCTCTTTCAACACTAACCAAATTATAGCACTTAATCCTAGAGATGCGCTTATACCCAGGGATAATGTGATTCTGGGAACAATATTTCAGGAATTTAACTCTGAAACGAAGTGACCATAATTATCTCGCAACCAGATAGTAGTTTTGAGGGTATTGATCATATTGTGGCTAATTTTAAGGTACCTTAAAATTTATATTTTTAGTCAAGATGATACTATTGTATCATATCAGATATAGTATCCATGTCAACACAGAGCCATCTATCATAAACTTTCTTCAAACTTAACTCAAAAATGAAGGATTTACAGACATATGTTTATATGGACTTTTGTCCTTGTTTTGATGTGAGGAACCCACTTCCAAAATTTGTAAAAGTATTTTTGAAACTATATATATATATATATATATATATAAAGTGGATATATATCATTTCAATTATTCATAATCCTAAGTCTAAATCCAGAACCATAAAAAATTCTATAATTCCTTCTATATATAATTCTCTTTTTTAAAATAAAATCAATTTGTGTCCCATGTTTAGTCACAGACAAGCAGAAAGTACAGAATATTTAAATAAAAATTGCTTTCAGTGTTTAAAATTTTGGTAATAAAAAATAAACTTTGACTTACATGTTTTTCTCATCTTTGTCATTCCAGTTCACATAATATCCAAAGATTTTCCAAATATCCTGAAGGAAAATAAATATGTACAAGAAATGAACAATAAACAGGAAATAAGTAGGGGAAAAAAACTGGAAATGCTGTAAAGAACTTACAATATGGCAGTGGAAAAAAATAGAGGAAAGAAAAAGAAAGAGAGGTGGGGAAAATTAAAGAATAAAAGAGAAAGTAGATAAGAGAAAAATGACCAACTTTTGATGATCGTATTTTGCTTACTTCTTCAGAAACATGTCTGGATAAATTTTTGATATAGAGTCGACTTGATGGTTCTCCAGGTGAATAATTCTTAAACACAGGCAACTCTTTCATTTCTGCAGAGGAAAAGATAAATTTGAACAGCCAGTTTCCTCCTTGTAACAATTTAGTTTCATTTTTAACATTCATATATAAACTCTGGCAAAAATTATCAAATCACCACACTTAGCAGGTGTCCATCCAGTGTTTTACTTTTTAAAAAATTCCATCACAAATAAACAAATCATAGATATGATAAAAAATATAATTTTTGTTTAACAGCTAAACATTCTGGCTTCATGAAACAAACTTCAAACAAATGCCATTATTTTAACTGTTGGAATTTTTTTTTTTTTTTAATCAAATAGCGGGAAAAAAATTATAGAATATTTTTCTGACTCTAGTGTTGAGTCAGAACTGTAAATTACAAAAATTTCTGCCACACTCTTAGAACAATAATATTGATATCAAATGCAAAATGATGAAGGGAAACTAGTCTAAAATTAATAATGACAGTGATTCATCTAAGAAGAAATTTTAACAACTTACAATGATTACTATTTACATTGTTTGGACTGTTGTCCTTATCTTTATTGCAATATTCACAATGTTTCAGCCATTGTACACTCCAGCCTGTATTTTCATTAGTAAATGTGACAATGGAATGCTGAACTCACCAAAATCTGACTAAGTGACAAGAACATCAGAATATTTGTTCTTTTGGAATAACTTTTTGGTAAGGCCAAGAAATTTTAAGTACCCATCTCATATATTACGGTAATTATAAAGAAAATAAGGAGGTACTAAGCATTTGAGATAAATAAAGAATAATGGTTAATGGTTCTTCTGTAGCCATTGACTTTCATGGTTCAACTGGTAAAGTAGAAATTGTGCTAAAACAACTTAACCAAGAGAAAAATATTCATGTTAGAATCTCACTCAAAGCGAATTCTTTATTTCTGTGTTGTTTACTAACTGCTGCAGAATAACTGAATAGTCGTTATTAAAAATGAAATAATATTAAGATGAAAGAAATACTAGTCCAAAAATGAATAATAATTGACAATACATAATAAAAATAATAATATTACTACAGTTGGGCCTAAAATATGACCATGGCTAAAAACTTGTGTGTCTTCATCTAACAATAAAAATAATTCAAGATAATAAATTTTAAAGGTTTATAAGTATTTACCAATTAGACTCACATCGTAAAGCAGTGGACTGGTTGGTCAGTGTGTCTCATTTCATTGAGAAGGGTCAACATTTGTTATTACACTTCAAAATGATTTCAAAGGAAGCATATTTAATATGCTTCATAGAGATGATATGACGTCAGTCCTTTTCAGAGCAGAGATTCAGAATAGAGAGAGAGAGAGAGAAACGTGATGTTCTTATGATAAAGATACTACAATGAATGGCAATGAGGCTAAGAGCAAAATATTGAGGGTTAAAAAAGGGATTAGTTGAAATGAACTAAGAATTGTAAAGTGTTATTTATTAGGTTATTTCACACTCTAGATTTTGCCTTATATAAAATGGAAATTCCCTCCACCCACCACCGAAAAGAACAAAAATGACGGTAAAGAAAACCTTTTGATGAGATCCGTCCCTGTTTGAGTTCATCTGCAGAAACAAATTGCAATGATTTTGACTGATGTGATTCTGTCTCATCTGTTGGCAGCAAATTCTGAAAAATATAGAAAGAGAAAGAAGTGTTTACTCAACAGAGAAAATCAAAAACACACACACACACACACATCTGTGAATGGTAATGGTGATATTAGTCATTTCCTTATAAGGAAATATTCAACATACATTGACCAAGCAGCCAGTGGTACTGTGAATTGAAATTTATAAAATCTTTCTATTAAAACAATTTTTCAGGAAAATAGGTTTCTCAAGCCGACTAAGTTCTTTTCCGTACTGATGAGGGTTTCCTTCCTAACCTTTTGTTTGAAGTATTGTGGAATGTCAATATCCTGATTATATCAATTTCTCTTCAAGCTACATGTGCAATCCATTTTAATTGTTGCTACTGTTAAAAATAGTGATGTGGTTTCTATTATCTGGTAGTTCTTTGTATGTGACACTGTAATGTCAGTCCACAAGTTTCAAAAGAAGGATGCGCCCCACCAAGGATAGTTTTTCACTCAAAGGGATTTTAATCACTGATCTGAGAAAAACAGTTATATAGAGTTGACAGTTTAGATATCTCTGAAGGAGTTTGGTGCCAGGCAGGAAATCCATCCAAAAGTCTCAAATTTTTAGGTTAATGTTTTGGTTCTGTAGCAATTTACTGTGTTGAGCAAAACTAACCCTAGCCCAGCCTAATACATATTCCAATTATAATGAATATGTTATGAATGATCCATACACCAAAAGTGAAATATCATTGGTTCAGAAAGTCATATTGCCATGCCAAGTTCAAATCCCATTTAATTCATTCTTGTTCATGTCATGCATTTTCACTTGGAAAAGGCATGAATCTAGCTTTCCCTTGCTATTTAGCAATGCAGACTTGATTTTCTTGGCAGCCAGTCTTGGAGAAGGAAAACTCAAAATTTCACAAAATTAAGTAAGTGGGAGGGGGGGATACAGATATATAAAAAATATTTTGACCAAGATTTTCTAAAAAAAAAAAAATTTCTAAAAAAAATTTAATTCATTTGTGAATAAGACTTGAAAGTTTCATTAAAATTTGACTGTTGTTTGATTTTCTGAACCAGTATACTTTTTACTGCAAGCCGCTAAAATTTCCTATATTAATCTTTGGTCTTCTTGCTGATACAAGCAAAACAAGATTTTTAACCAAAATTTGAAATGTACTAGAAATAATTAAATAATTTAATTAAATAATAAAAAAAATACTTTGGTCTTTCCTCTTAATAATAACAAACATTTTTGACAATAAAACTTTATTTTTTGGGAGAATTTTTTCATCATGATATGGTCTTTTTTCAGTGAATTAATGGAGGTGCCTATTATATATATATTTTTGAAATAATAAGAAAGAACAGTAACATTTATAATCCGGTGTTCTTAGCAATTATTTTTATTTTTAAAAATATGATTCCATCACAACGCACAAAATTTCCATGTTTTTAAACTGAAATTAAATTTATAAATTTAATTATAAAAATTAAACTTAAAATCCATAGTCTCGTTCCATTGTCAAGCGATGTTAGGAATATTTGTAAGTACTTTACCTTTTCTACAGGAGCTATTTTCCCAAACCCTGTCGAAGCAGAATCATCTGTTGGGTTTATGTCTACAATAGAAAAAATAGGCAGATTATTTTAGTTGCATGCTTATTTATACACAATTAGACTAGTGCTAGATTAGGTTAAGGTCAGTAAATATCTATATACACTAATTAATGCATATATACAGTAAGGTAAAAAATTCCTTTTTCATATAATCCAAGTGGATCTTAGTAATATGAAAATATTAGAACTGGTCCACAAAAAAAAAAAAAAAAAAAAGCTTGATGTATTTTATTTAATTTATACAGAGCAATATAATTAATAATTAATTAATGTCAACATAAAAACAAATTCAAATTTCTATAAGAAAGTTTTTGCCTTAATTAGCTACCCAAAAATCACTCCCCAACTCCCATTTCTTCTTCAAATGTCGACATAATAAACCAAAAACTAATTCTAATTCCCATAGTGGAATTTCTCCCACTCTAAAACCTTTTATACTATATTAATTATAATTTATAAACTTTCATCTGCTTAGAATATCCACCTAACTTTCTTTCCATTAATCCCTTACATCTCTTTATTTATATAAATTTTAAATTTATTTTTAGGGTCGTTTTTAATTTCTTCTTTAATCTTAAATTTAAGATAAAAAGAGTGTTTTCTTCTAATACCCCAATTTGTCATCATGCAGTTAATATTCTGTTTATATTTTTAATAAAACACCTTCCATTTAAGATAGATACCCTACCCACCCTCCTTGACCACTGTATAGTGCCTAGAATCTGATTGAAACAGTGAAAAGAGTAAACTCTGTATTGGGTGTTTTCTGCAAGTTAAGGTTTAAGTTGACTCTCACAATTTCTCACTGTTAACTCATACATGCCCCCTTCCTCTAAACTTACAGACATGAACTTCATTTCATTCCACACCAGGGTTGAAAAGACAGATGACCACTTTCATTGTCTGCCGAAATAGCCTATTCCCCATATGAGGTAGAAGGAATTGTTTGATTAATAATTATATATATATATATATATATATATATATATATATATATATAAAAGAAATATAATGTAGTGGTTCCAACGAGAGAAAAGTATGTATATTAAAAAGAAGAGAAGAGAGGTGCATAAACGTTTTTGGTTGTAATGTGGATTTATTTAGAAAAAATATTATGCTTTGTTTTACATAATTTTACGACACATGTTTCTGGTCTCGCGACCATCTTCAGGTAAAAGTGGAGATTTCCACATATTAAAAATAATTAATTTTTCCTCATGTTCAATGTTAAATATTCTCGATATGAGACATTTTCTGTTTGTGTGTTGGTAATCTGAATTTCTTTCTTGAATATATATATATATATATATATATATATATATATATATATATATATATATATATATGTATATATATTTTAGCAGCAATTCCTCTTTTATACTGGTTTCATTGAAACTTTTGATTATATTTTTCTTGCATGCATACAAGAGATTTCTTTTAGAGTGTGTAAGAACTGTTTAAGGGACCTTTAGGATCCAAGCACTTTTGGATAATCAAAGATATTTTTATGTTTATCTGAATCAATATGTATATATTTTTTGTAGAAATTCCTGAACACAGGCACCACATTGTGGCTGTGTTTATATATATATATATATATAACATACACACACATACATACATACATACACACAGAAGACAAATTAAATAAAAAGCTTAATGACAGTACCTTGTCAGTCATCTTTAATGAAACCTGTATAAAAGAGGGATTGCTACCCAAATACACAATTATATATATATATCTCTGATGTACAAATCTATATGTAAGAATAAGAGTGGGTAATTGAATGACAAAATGTAAAAAAAACCTATATTAGACATTTCATTCCTTGAAATATTTATGCTAATAATGATTTTATTGATGAGACATTATATATATATATATATATATATATATATATATAAGTAGTGTGGAGAGCTGCTGTTTTCATGGGAGCAAAGGACTATGAAGAGAATAAAATCCAGCATGTCATAGAGGCTAAACAAAGACACAAATGTTCCATGGTGGATGACTCTACAGTATTCTACTACTGTAGTAGTTGTCAAAAACAGTGCCGATCATGCATTGGTTGTTTTAGCCATGAGCAGCACTGTGTTTTAAGATAAGTTATTTTCTGCTGCTGATTGTCGTCATTGATAAAACAGGCCTTGTAAATATAAAAGTGAACATTGAAGTCAACACTCAGAGGCGACAAGCTGTTTCATGCTAGTCTTTCAACACTCGCAGCCTGATGATTGCATCTAGCATGAAACAGCCTGTCGCCTCTGAGTGTTGACTTCAATGTTCACTTTTATATTTACATACGCTCTATCTCTGATATTGAGCACTTTATCCTATAAATATAGCATATCTTAAAAAGTATATATATATATATATATATATATATATATATATATATATATATATATATATATATATATATCTCAAAAGGTTTCAGTTTTGCCATTTATAGTTATTCATGTTTTTTTTTTTTTCCCTAATGAAAAGTGTTGGATTAAAAAGTATTAAAACTATATATATATATATATATATATATATATATATATATATATCATCAGGTCTACGTTGACAAGAGTAAACTACAAGGAATTCCAGACTGAACCCTTTATTTAATCTACATGAGTAGACTGTTCTTGTTCCACTGTCCATATTTAGGGATATCTCATCTAGTAGTCATTTTTAGTACTACTCAGCTATTGCTCACCCTGTTTCTACTGAGCCCAAGTACACACTGCCCAGCCCAGGGAATGAACTCACAATTACTATGTCACCAATTTCACAAAAAAAGTGCTTTAAACCAATAGGCTATAGTCCTGAGACATATACCTCATGAAGGCAAGAGGGACAAAATATTGTGATAACAACAACAAAGATGAGGACAATAGTAAATGATAATAACTCTTCATCCCAGAAATTCAAACAGAAATTAATAAATTTATTTTCATCTCTCTAGAAAGAACAACATGTAAGAAACTAATTGCTAGGAATCACTGCAAGTATTGCTTGGACAATTGAAATCATTGCTTTTATTTCAACCAATCCATTCTACAGCATTCTGAAGAAAGCTCCTTGAAGAGAAAGAAAATTGAAGGAAACAATAACAGCTTGTAGATACAATGTCAGTCCAAT